TCTTAACAAGTTAAACATTCATCTACCATCCAGCCATCCCACTCCTAGGTATTTATCCAAGAGAAATTAAATCATATACCCACGTGAAGATCTGCACATGAATATGCACAGCAGCTTCATTTGCAACAGCCCCACGCTGAAAACAACCCAAATGTCCATCAACGGATGAATGGGGAGACAAAGTGTGGTATGTCCATAAAATGGAACCCTACTCAGCAATAAAAATGAATAAAATATTGATACACGTAACAACATGGAAATAATTATGTTGAATGAAAGAAGCCAGACCAAAAAAAGAGTATATACTATGTGGCTCTATTTGTATAAATTTCTAGAAAATGCAAACTAGCCTATAGTTGCAGATAGTAGGTCAGCAGTTGCCTGGGGATGGGATGAGATGGGTTAGTGATGAGAATATTTATTATCTTGCTCTGGTGATGATTTCATAGCTATGTCATACATCAAAACTCATTAAACTTTAAAAATAGATAGTTTATTAAATATTAATTACACCTCAATAAATCTATTAAAATAACAAGACAAAACTACCAGTGTCCAGGCCCCATCCCCAGAGATTCCATTCCATGGCCTGCCATGGCACTAGTACTTTTCAGAGGCCCCAGGTGGTTCTGACGTACGGCCCTGACAGAACCACAGTACGGGTGCCTTCCACGTGGAGTCACTCCCACAAACCGCTGGAAGGATTAGTCACAATGTTAAGAGTTATGAGGAGGTAAAGGACCAGGGCTCGAAGAAGGAGAAGCGTGATGAGGAGGTTGAAGATGATGATTAATTAAGTCCAGTTTGGCTCATGAAAAGATGGCACCGACAGAGAATAGCTAACTCCACTAGGTGGCATCTGGACACTTCTCTTTAGCATGATTTCCAGGGGAATGGGAGATTCAGGGCTGTCCGGGCAATACTGGGAGAGAGGGAGCAGGTGACGGTGTTACTTTGGTGGAGAAAGGCCTTGGGACGGAGAACAACCAGCAACTTGGGAAATGTAAGCAGGGCCCAATGTGCTCTCCTCAGCCTGATGACACAGAGGAAATGAGATTATTGCAATTTCAGTGTCATTCGAGGTTCTAGAGTACAAAGAGCTGAGCTATTTATTCAGGGACTAAGTAACACCAGAAGAGCAAATAAATGATGTTATCAAGGAGAAGATCAAATGCCTTGTGCTTTCAGCACAGAGCAGAAACCTGTGTCGACAGGACCAGCACTCAGTCTGCCCTCCCTCATTAAGGAATGTTCCCTACATTTTCTACTTTGCTTTTCCCAGGCCACACTGGCCTTGGCCAGTGAGTCAGAGGACACTATGACAACAGACTGTAAAGCAACCTCTCCTCCCTGTGGTTCTCTGCTTTTCACAGCCATTTTCCTCTCTGCAGTCTCCCTGTCCCTTCTCAGCCCCATTGCCATTGCCTGGCTTTTGCTGTGCTGACCCTTAAGGAGAGCGAGAAGCACTTTCCCAAGTGATCTGAAGAGTCCACGACTTGGAGGAAGGGAATATAATTTAGACCTTCCTGTCTGTGCATCACTGTCCCTTCTACCAAGGAACATAAAGCAAGTCCCCAAAGGAGTGGCTCAGAAAACACTGAAGAGTAACAACCACATCAGTTTTCAAACTCTCCCCAGAACCCATCAGGAACCAGGAGTCGGAGTGGTCCACAGGCATCAGTTTTGTCAGCTTGATTATGTGCCTGGGTCAGGGCTCCCCAGTCTCCAGTTAACTCTGTCACCAGGATCACACAGACAGACAGCCATGCCTTTGTGAGAAATGAACAAATAAAGAAGCTGAGATAATGTGATTTTGTCATTCTGTGTGAATTCCATGTAGTGCTCTCCTTCATCTGTTCTATACATGCTTGCAGGGAGGGGAAGGCCACATGCGATTTCTTTAAAGGGTTCTGCTGGTAAAAAGTTTGCAAAGCACTCTCCAATATCCTCCTGAAAGACCCTCCTTATAAACCGCAGCCAGTGTTGCAGATTTGGGCACACAGTCTTCAAGTCTTTTCAGAGAGAGTTCCTTCCCTCCTCAGAATATCTCCTCCAGACTTGGGACAAGTGTTATCCTTCATCTTTGCTCAAGGTTGTGCCAAGGACCCAATCTTAGCTATAAAGTCCCCTTCTCTAGTTCTCTCAGCTGTTGGGGGCACTCATACAAATAGGACTTTTCTGGTCTCCCAGATATCTCAGAATTCTCAAGGTAGGTCTCAGAGATATGGTCCCCTCATGTCCCCTGCATAGTGGCTACTTTCTGTTTCAGACTTAGTTCACTTTCCTAGCATTGAGTTTTTTGAGTTCTTTGAGTTTTTTGTCATTTGAGTCATTTGAGTTTTTTGTCTTCTCTGTCTACACTCTATTTTTCAATTGCTGAAAAATTATTTTTATTAAGTGCTGAGCAGATCATTTTTTTTTTTTTTTTTTTTGAGACAGTATCTGGCTTTGTCGTCTGGGCTAGAGTGCCATGGCATCATAGCTCACAGCAACCTCAAACTCCTGGGCTCAAGTAATCCCTCTGCCTTAGCCTCCCCAGTAGTTGGGACTACAAGCACATGCCACCACGCCTGGCTAACTTTTTGTTTCTATTTTGTTTCTATTTTTAGTTGCTTGGCTAATTTTTTTTTCTATTTTTAGTAGGGATGGGGTCTAGCTCTTGCTCAGGCTGGTCTCAAACTCCTAAGCTCAACTGAGGCTGCCTCAAGTGAGGCTGCCTCAGCCTCCCAGGGTGCTAGGATGACAGATGTGAGTCACCACAATGGGCCCCAGATCAAATTATTTTATAAAAAGCATACAAGGTATAAAGAATCACAGCCAGATTAGCACCTGTGTACCCACCACTCAGGTAAAAAAAAAAAATCACTTTACTATGACTCCTGCAGTCCCCAGGGTATTCCTCTCTAAACCCCTTCCTTTTCTCCCCACCCCTAAGGCAAACACTATGCTGAATTTTGTGTTTATCATTCCCTTGTGTTTCTTCATAGATGTCTCCATATGTTTGAATCTGTGAACAATATATTGCTTAGTTTGATATGTTTTTAAACTTTATATCAATTGATTCATACAGTATATATTCTTTCCAGACAATATTGTTTTTGAGATTCACCTATATTCCCTCCGACCCCCCAGAACCCCCTACTCCACACTCACATGTGACTGTAAAGTGCACAAGGGGCGGAGCTAAAGGGCTGGGACGCCACCTGGTCCTCGAGCAACAGTTCAAAGCCCAGCTCTGGAGGCCTCTGGCAGCAGGGAAAGCCAACCCAGGGATTATTTGGAAAAACATGGGTTGGGAAGTTGCTGAGCTATGTTACCAGTACCCTTCTCTTTTTCCAGCTGAGTAAGGGTCTTGCCTCCCACTTAGCAAGTAGCTACATTTCATTGTTGCAACACTTTATAGTATACATGCGTAATATACCACAGTAGTGGAACCCTGAAAGTCTCCTTATGTTGTCCAGGCTGGTCTTGAACCCCCGGCCTCAAGAAATTCTCCTGCCTCCAGCCGCACAAAGTGCTGAGATTACAGGTGTGAGCCATAGCACCTGGTCACCACAGTTTTATTTAATCCATTCTATTCTTGAGGACATTTGGGATGTTGTCAATTATGAATGGTGCTGCTGTGAACATTCCTGTACATGTCTTCTGGTGTATATTTACAAGAGTTGCTCTAGGAGCAGAATTTCTGGATCAGAATGTAGAAACGTGTTTAAATTACCAAAATAATCCCAAACCATTTTTCAAATTGGATGGTCCAGTTTACACTCTCCTGATCACTGACTGTCTCACTGCAGTACATCTTTGCCAGCACTTGATATTGTCCAACTTCCTAATTTTTATGTCTCCTAGATGTAAAATGGTTATTTTCTTGTAGTTTTTATTTATTTATTTATTTTGGAGACAGAGTCTCGCTTTGTTGCCCGGGCTAGAGTGAGTGCTGTGGCATCAGCCTAGCTCACAGCAACCTCAAACTCCTGGGCTCAAGCAATCCTTCTGCCTCAGCCTCCCAATTAGCTGGGACTGCAGGCGTGTGCCACCATGACCAGCTAATTTTTTCTATATACATTAGTTGGCCAATTAATTTTTTTCTATTTATAGTAGAGATGGGGTCTTGATCTTGCTCAGGCTGGTTTTGAACTCCTGACCTCAAGCAATCTGCCCGCCTTGGCCTCCCAGAGTGCTAGGATTACAGGCATGAGGCACCGCGCCCGGCCTTCTTGTAGTTTTAATTTGTCTGCAAGATTGCCAAAGAGGTTGATAATATCTTAGTATGTTTATTGGCCATTTGTCTTTCCTCTTCTTGAAGTGCCTGTTCTGGGCTAACTCTTTGGTGAAGAAAGAGGGCACAGGTTTCAGAGCCTGGCCCCCGAGGACAGAAGTCCCAGCCAACAGTTAGATTTTCAGTGCTCCGGTGATTGAGGAGGAGGCCCTTCTAGCCACCTGCACCCCACCTTAGCGACCCTCCATCAAAACCACTGTGGGATGGTCTCTGTCTCCTAAGACCAGCTCCAGGCATCTAATTAGGCAGCAAGCAGAGATGTGGAGGCTCGGGATGCAGGACTGCTTTGCTCACAACCCAGTCAAGCCAACAGGCTGAGGCCTTCCTGCCCCGCTGCCAGCGCCACGCCTGCAGGCTGGTCACACCAAGATGCTCCTTGGGACTCTCCGCAGGACACCCTCAGAATTGCACATGTTCCTTCTGTTATTAGTTCATCCTGTTACTAGCACTTCAAGCCTTATCATTGGATCCACAAGTACTGAGCGAGGTGCCAGAGACAGAAATGGGAAAAGGCAATCAGACCCAGTCATCAGCCCGGACGGGGCGCAGTGGCAGCGGCCCCCAAGGGGCTCTGCGGACACTTCGCCTGCCCGGCTTGGCCCGGCCACACACACCCCAGGCTTCCCCTCCGCGAGGAGGAGCCGCAGAGCTGCGCGCCCAGGTCGCCGCCGCGGAGAGGCAGCCACGTCACGTGACCGCGCCGCGCGGGTGGGGGCGGGCCAAACCGCCGCGCCGCCGCCTGGTCGCCTGGCAACGGCGAGACGCGGAGCCATGGAGGCCGCCGAAAGCCGGGAGACCCAAGCCAGGGAGTATCTGAGAAAACATCGGATCCCGGAGCTGCTGACCTACCTCACCAGCTCCCTTCTCTTTTTCCGGCCCGGTAAGGGTCTCGCCGCCCACTTGGCTTTCTGTTCTGCCCGCTTCCCCACGAGGGTCCCCTGAGATTCCCAGGACGGCCACCGCTCCGGGCCCGCGCCCTCCCGCAGGACACCCGCCTCCGCACCCACACGCTGCCCCCGCGTCCTGGCTGCTTGAACCCTCCCGCTTTAACCCCGTGGCCTTCGTTTAAGCCGGACTTAGGCAGGGGCAGGGCTGGTCAGAGTGGGAGACAGGCTCCCTCCGGGCCGCAGCGGGGCTCCTGGCTCCCCCCTCAGTACCGGTGACTTGGGGCAAGACCCTGAACTTTGGTCTCCGCCTCTGGAAAAATGGACACGGTATCAGTGCGGATCTCATGGGACCGTGGGGGAGATTAAATAAATAACATATAAGTCATCCTTCTGCCTGGCAAGCAGTAGATGTTTCCAGGTCTGCCCCTGCTCGCATAGAGTTTTTAGCCTTGCAAGGGAACAGTCGGCAGGGTGAGATAAAAGGATATTCCCGAGGAGACTGCTTTTCCTGACTTGTTTACACCTCGGAATCCCTGGCTGCGGTCCCCAACCCCCAGTACCGGTCCGCGGCCTGTTAGGGACTGGGCTGCGGAGCTCCACGGCCGCCCTGCCCCGCCCCGCGCCCCATCTGTGGAAAAATTGTCTTCCATGAAACCGGTCCGTGGTGCCAAAAAGGGTTGGGGACCGCTGCTTTGAAACATTTCATAAATTTTGTGACGTGAATGACTAAAAAGTCATGTCAGGTGAAAATGGTTTTATGTCCTTCTCCCCGGGGTGCAGAATTGTAACTTGCTGGCCTCCATACGGAGTATCCAAAATGCTAAAATTGTCCATTTGTTTCAGTGTAAGGAAATGGAAACACCAAACATTCCGACTTTGCCAGAAACCACCCAGCCAATATGATCATATATAGGGCGATAAAGTTCTTTCTAGTTGTTTTAGAATGGCAAAGCAATTTAAAAATCTTTTAAAACCTCTGCAACAAATAGAAAGTTAAAAGAAATAATGGGCTGGGCGCGGTGGCTCATGCCTGTAATCCTAGCACTCTGGGAGGCCAAGGCGGGCCGATTGATCAAGGTCAGGAGTTCGAAACCACCCTGAGCAAGAGCGAGACCCGTCTCTACTAAAAATAGAAAGAAATTAATTGGCCAACTAATATATATAGAAAAAATTAGCCAGGCATGGTGGTCCATGCCTGTAGTCCCAGCTACTTGGGAGGCTGAGGCAGGAGGATTGCTTGAGCCCAGGAGTTTGAGGTTGCTGTGAGCTAGGCTGATGCCACGGCACTCACTCTAGCCTGGGCAACAAAACGAGACTCTGTCTCAAAAAAAAAAAAAAGGAAATAATGACAACGGAATGCCCTTTTATTAATGCACTAGGGAAAGGTTGCTATCAAACTAACTTTTTTAAACTTATTTTTTGAAAAAGTGACTACTGTCTCTTGCTGGTAGTTGGTACCGCTATGTTGAAAATGGTCTACTGACTTGTATGCCATGAATATATACAAATAAAAAATAATTATAAAAAAAGAAAAAGAAAATAGTCTTCTGCTGTTAGATGCAGCAATTAATTTCTGGGTGTATGTGATAACTGAACTGTTATTCTTTTTTTCCCCTCTTTTTACATATATATATTTTTTTATTCCCTTATATGTTCCTATGAACTGTTATTCTTGATAGTCTGATTTGAAGGCATTTGGTTTCCAAATAAATGTGTGATGACATTCATGTTAGCAATTTCTAATAATAGTCACTCTATATTAAGACAAATTTTAATAAGTGATATTATATTCATTATATAAGAATAATGTTTGTCAATATATTTCATTTTCATTTCATTTTTATTTTTACCAAAATATATGTATGGGATTTAAAAATCAAGAAGGAGTCTATCCATTTCCTTATAGGCAAAAAAGAAAAGAAAAGAAAACATAAAATATTAAAAGAAAAAATTATTTTTTAAATAATATTTAAATATAATTATTTTTAAATAATTTTTAAAAGATTAAAAATTAAAAAAAGACTCTAAAGTTTATAATGAATAACAACAGCATTCCCTTCTCCTTCCCCAGTTCCTATACCACAGAAAAATGATTTCAACTTGTTTTGCTATGTTCTTTGCTATTTATCTTGAGATTTCTAAATAACATACCTATACTGCTGCTTCTTAATGTTTTTCCCCCTAGGATTAGATATTAGCTTTTTTTAATTTTTTTTTGAGACAAGAGTCTCACTTTGTTGCCTGGACTAGAGTGCCATGGCATCAGCCTAGCTCACAGTAACCTCAAACTCCTGGGCTCAAGTGATCCTTCTGCCTTAGCCTCCTGAGTAGGTGGGACTACAGGCATGTGCCACCATGCCCAGATAATTTTTTCTATATATTTTTAGTTGGCCAATTAATTTATTTCTATTTTTAGTAGAGACGGGTTCTTGATCTTGCTCAGGCTGGTTTTGAAGTCTTGACCTTGAGCTATGCTCCCGCCTCAGCCTCCCAGATGCTAGGATTACAGGTGTGAGCCACGGTGCCCAGCCTAGATATTAGCTTTATATGGTGGAAGATGAAAATCTAAATTTGATATACAGGAAGAATCAACAGAAGACTTCATACTTGATATGATTGCCCTTAGTAGCCTATATGTTGCTATAGTCGATTAAAATTTGTACAAATAAGGCAATATATTAGATTCAAAAGTTTGTCTAGGCCGGGAGCGGTGGTTCACGCCTGTAATCCTAGCACTCTGGGAGGCCAAGGCAGGAGGATTGCTCCAGGTCAGGAGTTCGAAACCAGCCTGAGCAAGAGCAACACCCCGTCTCTACTAAAAATAGAAAGAAATTAATTGGCCAACTAATATATATAGAAAAAATTAGCCGGGTATGGTGGCACATGCCTGTAGTCCCAGCTACTTGGGAGGCTGAGGCAGCAGGATTGCTTGAGCCCAGGAGTTTGAGTGAGCTAGGCTGACGAGTGAGTTAGTTTGAGTGAGCTAGTTTGCTGTGAGCTAGGCTGACGCCATGGCACTCACTCTAGCCTGGGCAACAAAGCGAGACTCTGGCTCAAAAAAAAAAAAAAAAAATCTGTCTACTTCTGGTTTGAACATATAAATTCCAAGGGGTGAAAAAGATGGAGGGGAAACCTATAGATTAAAAGATTTAAAAACATAATTTGAGTCCAGGCATAGTGGCTCACACCTGTAATGCCAGCACTTTGGGAGGCCAAGGTAGGAGGACTGCTTAAGCCCAGGAGTTCAAGCTATGACTACACCACTGCACTCCAGCCGAGTGAAAGAGCAAGACCCTGTCTCTAAAATAAAACAAAACAAAAATAACCTGAGTAAAGAGACAACCTGTGTATGGAATGAGAGAATATATTTACAAACTATACATTTGATAAGTTAATATCCAAAATATTTAAGGAACTCAATACTAAGAAAAGAAATAACTGATTTTAAAAATGGGCAAAGGATGTAAATAGACATTTCTCAAAAAAAGACATACAAATGGCCAATAGTTATATAAAAAAGTGTTCAACATCAGTAATCATCAGGGAAATGCAGATTAAAATTACAATGAAGTATAATCTCACAGCTGTTAGAATGGTTATTATAAAAAGGGTGAAAGACAGCCAGGCATGGGGGTGTGTGCCTGTAGGCCCAGCAACTCAGGAAGCTGAGGCAGGAGGAATACTTGAACCCAGGAGTTCAAGACTAGCTTGGGTAACATAGCAAGACCCTGTCTCAAAAAGACAAGTTCAAGAGATCTATTGTATATCGTGGCGACTACAGTTAATAACAATATATTATATACTTGAAAATTGCTAAGAGAGTAGATTTTAACAGTCAGGTGCAGTGGCTAACACATGTAATCCCAGCATTGCGGGAGGATTGCTTTAGGCCAAGAGTTCGAGACCCTATCTCTACAAAAAATAGAAAAATTAGCTGGTTGTGATGACACACACCTGTAGTCCTAGCTACTTGGGAGGCTGAGACAGGAAGATCCCTTGAGCCCAGCAGTTTGAGGCTGGAGTGAGCTATGATGATGCCACTGCACTCTAGCCCAGGCAACAAAGCAAGACTCTGTCTCAATTAAAAAAAAAAAAAAATGTACACATATGTGAGGCAATGCATGTTAAATAGCTTGATTTAGCCATTCCTCAATATGTACATATATCAAAACTGGGGGTGTCACTGTGTTGCCCTGGCTGGTCTTGAACTCCTGGGCTCAAGTGATCCTCCTACCTCAGCCTCCTGAGTAGGCACTGCCATACCTAACTTGAATACTGATTTTTTAAAAGTGTTTATAATTTATGACATTTGTGAGACAATTGGAAATTTGAATACTGCCTGGCTATTTTTATTTATACTAGAAAAATGTTTTGGGTGTGTGAATGGTATTGTGGTAATGTGAAAAAGGAAAAGGGATCCTTATCTTCTAGAGATATATACTCTACTTATTGATGGAATATGACCACTGTGATTTTCTTTGAAATAATACAGGAAGAAGGGGAAGTGGATGGGATTACAGTGAAATTAGATTGGCCACAAATTTTAACAGGTGAAGTGGTGATGTTGATAAGGGGTTCATTATACTTTTCTACTTGTATAAACATATGAAATTCTTAATAATGACATAATTTTTAAAAAAAAGAATTTAAAAATGAAGAGTAAAGCTTAGGATTGAAATAATAAAATGATGGAGCAGTAGGAGTAGCATTTACCAGCTAAGTTGCTCCATCTTTTCTTCTTCTGGCTTCTTTTCATCATGTCTGTCCTGCATTATTTCTAGAAAGTATTTAATAGATTGATCTTGATTTTTCATTTTTAAAATTGCTTAAATGAAAGCCTATTTATCTTTTATATATCAAGACTTTTATATATCAATGTTTCTATGTTAGAAATGAATATATATACTTCCTAATTAGAGGATTTCTCTACTTATCTAAAAGCCTATTTTTATTATTTATATTTTATCCTTTCTTTTAGCTGCCTAACTTCTTTCCTGCACCATGCTGTTACTTCTGCTGTCTTTTTGGTTTTCAGCTCTGTCTGCAAATTAGAATCACCTGAGGAGCTTTTTTTAAAAAAATGCCCAGGGTCAGTCTTTGGACATTTTTATTCATCGTCTGAGATCAGGCACTTGTATATATAATTATTTAATTGTTCAATGTCTCCCTGCTGGACGGCGAGTTTCATGGAAGAAATGCCTAGTATAGTACCTTGAACATTAGTATTTAATAACTGTTATTAATGACTATTTCTATTTGTCACATATTTTAATTTCATATTAGAAAGAGTTGGAATTATTCTTTTGCAGAACATCCAAGAGACTATTTAATAACTATATTGGAACGTCTGAGAATTGCCAAACTAACAGGTATAGCCTTTCCTTTCTATATGGATAACTCTAACATCGTGTCTATGTTTGAGATGATGGACCCCTCCAACAGAGGCACCATATCATTTGTGCAATATAAAGAAGGTCAGTATCTTCTACTAATTGAGGTCATAGTTTGTGGTTATTCCCTAACTTTCTCTAGCTGAAAATCTCACTTTGCAAATTTTCATTTCTTCTCATTCTTTCACAGCCCTGCAAACGCTGGGTCTGTGTACTCCAGATGAAGTTTTAAAAGATACTGGACGTTCAATATCTTTGGATAATTTCAGGGATGAAGTGTAAGTTTATTTTTAAATGATGAATATTTAATAACATGATTTTGAAGTACAATTAATACCTTTTGAAGGAAACATTTTGTTCCCTTGAAATTTTCAGCTGACTAGACAGTGAGGAAAGAGAGGGCTGATAGTCAAGTCCCTAAGCCTGGGGTGGAGTGTGGGTGTGAGTAGTGGGGGTAATGTTGGGGTCAAAGAGAAAGTTCTAGAAGTAGTTCTATTCTTTTCGCAATGGGAAATCCCAGCAATTCTCAAAGAATGCTGAATGGTGAAGAAGGACCAATCTTCTAGGAGAACAGAAAAGCTTTGCACTTAACACACTAGTTAGAAAATCTCTGTAAAATGGCGGTCCGTCCCATGGTATAAATGGTTAGCACTCTAGATTCTGAACCCAGAAAAATCTCTGTATAAAATACAGAGTAATAAAATTCATCTCAAAGAATTTCCTCAAAATTATGTATTGGAAAGTAGATGCTTATCAATAGTATAGGTTACATGTCAGCCTGACAATTATAGATTTGAAATCTTACAGGATTAAAAGTACTAACTAAATGCTATATCAAGGGGGGTGCAGAGGAGAGGGGCAAAAACCTACCTAATAGGTACAATGAACACTATTTGGGTGATGAACATGCTTATAGTCCTGACTCATGCATTACAAAAGCTATCCATGTAACAAAAACATTTGCACCCCCTTAATATTTTGAAATCAAATTAAAAAAAATAAAAATAAATGCTAAGTCAGAGGAAAAACCATCAGAATAAAGTTTAATAGTTATGGAAAGCCTCTGGAGAATCTAGCTCAATTTGTTTAAAAGTTTTACTCTCTGAGAATTTATTAATCAAGAAACTATTATTTAATACAGCCAAAGGCCAAGGAAAAGTTAGAAGAAAAAAAAACTTTCAGATTTTCATCTCATTTTCAGCTATATAAAAGTTAAACAAAAATGTTTAATTACACTCTCTCCCACTTAGGAAAAATTCAGGCAGAGTGCTCTGGCCTGAAATGTTCATTCCAGGAAAGAAACATTGCCCATTGTTATATAGGAAGTATTAAATGGAAAATACATTTATGAAAAATGAAGAACAATCTATCTTATTCACCATCTCATAATGTGTTTTGTTACTGAATACATGAATTCTCAAACTAAATACGGAACCTCAATTATAAACATGCACTCTAAATGATTTTTAAAAATAGTATTGGCTGGGGGAGGGGCATGGGCAATATAAGTTACCTTAACACTTGTACTCCATAATATGCTAAAATAAAAAAATAAAAATAAAATAAAAATAAAAAATTTATTGGCTGTATTGATTATCCACAACAGATTTTCCCTTAGCACAGGAAATTGAAGATGGTTATAATTTATACCTCTGCCTTAAATTTTTCAAACAGACACATTCAACATTACATTGGCAATGGAATTACTCTGGGGTTCCATGGTTCTGATTTTCTGTTTTTGTTTTCTTAGGAACAAGAGGACTGAGGAAATATATGCCACATTTTAGTATCACCATAAGTGGAAGATAATAAAGATTCCAAAATGTTTCAACTTTCCGTTTCATTCATTCAGAACTTCATCATACAGCTCAAAGTCCAATTAGCTCCTCAGTCTTTTTTTTTGAGCCAGAGTCTCACTTTGTGCCCAGGTTAGAGTGAGTGCCATGGCATCAGCCTAGCTCACAGGAACCTCAAACTCCGGCTCAAGCAATCCTGCTGCCTCAGCCTCCGAGTAGCTGGACTACAGGCATGCACCACCATGCCCGGTAATTTTTCTATATATTTTTAGTTGGCCAATTAATTTCTATTTTGGTAGAGACGGGTCTCACTCTGGCTCAGGCTGGTCTGAACTCCTGACCTTGAGCAATCCACCTGCTCGGCCTCCCAGAGAGCTAGGATTACAGGCGTGAGCCACCACTCCCGGCCTCCACATGTTTCTATAAAAACTATAGATTTATTATTTGGTTCTTTTAACATGTTAGGACTACACATATGCACAGAGTTTGTTTTGTTAGATTATTATAAGGTAATAGGATCATTGTTTCAATATAGATCCATTTCCCTAAATACAATACGATATTAGTACTGTATTGAAGGCAGCTATGACTTTACTTTAGGTGGATTAGAATATGAGAAAATAAAAAAAAATTTTTTTGAGACAGAGTCTCGCTTTGTTGCCCAAGGCTAGAGTGAGTGCCATGGCATTACCCTAGCTCACAGCAACCTCAATCTCCTGCAATCCTTCTGCCTCAGCCTCCCGGATAGCTGGGACTACAAGCATGTGCCACCATGTCCGGCTAATTTTTCTACATATATTAGTTGGTCAATTAATTTCTTTCTATTTTTAGTAGAGACGGGGTCTCGCTCTTGCTCAGGCTGGTCTCGAACTCCTGACCTCAAGCAATCCGCCTGCCTTGGCCTCCCTGAGTGCTAGGATTACAGACGTGAGCCACCGTGCCCGGCCAGAAAAGAAAAAATTAAAATAAATAAATTGAAAGCAGCAAAATGTAGACTACTACCAAATTTAAAAAACAAATAGTCATTTGAAATAAGCAAACACCAGCTTTCACTTTATAAGTTTAAAAGGAATGCTTTGGCCAACTAATATATATAGAAAAAATTAGCTGGGCATGGTGGCACATGCCTGTAATCCCAGCTACTTGGGAGGCTGAGGCAGGAGGATTGCTTGAGCCCAGGAGTTTGAGGTTGCTGTGAGCAAGGTTGACACCACAGCACTCTAGCCCAGGCAACAGAGTGAGACTCTGACTCAAAAACAAACAAACAACAAAACCCCCCCCAAAAAGTACTAACTAAATGCGAAATCAAGGGGGAGTTGCAGAGGAGAGGGGCAAAACCTACCTAGGTAAAATGAACACTGTTTGGGTGATGAACACACTTATGGTCCTGACTCATGCATTACAAAAGCTATCCATGTAACAAAAATATTTGCATCCCCTTAATATTTTGAAATCAAATTTAAAAAAATAAAAATAAATGCTAAGTCAGAGGAAAAACCATCAGAAAGCCTCTGGAGAATCTAGCCAATTTGTTTTAAAGTTTTACTCTCTGAGAATTTATTAATCAAGAAACCATTATTTAATACAGCCAAAGGCCAAGGAAAAGTGAGAAGAAAAAAGAAACTTTCAGATTTTCATTTCACTTTCAGCTATGTAAAAGTTAAACAAAAATGTTTAATTACACTCTCTCCCACTTAGGAAAAATTCAGGCAGAGTGCTCTGGCCTGAAATGTTTCATCCAGAAGAAAACATTGCCCATTGTTATATAGGAAGTATTTTAAATGGAAAAACATTTATGAAAAATGAAGAACAATCCTATCTTATTCACCATCTCATAATGTGTTTTGTTACTGAAATACAGTGAATTCTCAAACTAAATATCGGAACCTCAATTACAAACATGCACTCTAAAGTGATTTTTTAAAAATTTATTGGCTGTGTTTGATTATCCACAACAGACTTTCCCTTAGCACAGGAAATTGAAAGATGGTTATAATTTATTATGTCTGCTCTTGTATATTTTTCAACAGTCACATTCAGCATTTATATTTGTAAATGGAATTACTCTGAGTTTTCATGGTTTCTTAATTTTCTGTTTTTGTTTTCTTAGGAACAGGAGGACTCAAGAAATATACACCTCATTCAGTAACACCATAAATGGAAGATAATAAATGATTCCAAAAAGTTTTCAACTTTCCAGTTTCATTAATTCAGAACTTCATCATACAGCTTGAAATCCAATTATCTCCCTCAGTCTTAAACAAAACAAAATCTTTTTTCTGAAAGATACATTATTTCCCAGTGTTAGGCCAGTTCGTCCTCAAATTAAGTAGAATCTCAACATCTTGTTGAGCCAATTTGTAAATTCCAACTTCATTTAATGCTGCTGTGGTAGGAATTTGTCCTGAAGCTGACTGCAATACATCTTTCAGGAGTAGAGCAGAACCAATATTCAAATTCAAAACAATACAGGCTTCTTTTACACTGTTTAGGAAAAAAATGGAGGGAAATGAGATCTTCATTATCAATATCATCCATATTATAACAATTTCATTTTTAGAAACTAAAAATGTGCTTTCCTGCACTCCTGGTCAACATGTTCTCTATAAAAACTATGGATTTATTATTTAGTTCTTTTAACATGTTAGGACTACACATATGCACAGAGTTTGTAATTTGTTAGATTATTATAAGGTAATAGGATCATTGTTTCCAATAGAGATCCATTATTTCCCTAAATACAATACTTGATATTAGCACTCTATTAAAGGCAGCTATGACTTTACTTTAGGTGGATTAGAATATAAAAAAGAAAAAAATTAAAATAAATAAAATGAAAGCAGCAAAATGTAGAGTACTAGAAAATTTAAAAAACAAATAGTAATTTGAAATAAGCAAACACCAGCTTTCACTTTATAAGTTTAAAAGGAATGCTTTATAACCTCACAAACACCATACATAATTTAAATTCTAAATCAACAAATTCTGAAAATGTTTCTAAGAATTATTGTTACATATATTTACCATTATACTTAGAATCAAAATTACTATGAAATGTATAAGAAAACAAATTTCTTTCAGGCCTGGTCTATTGTTAGGTATTAACCATATTTTTAATTTCTTATATTTACTGAGTATAGCACAAATGCACTTGCTTTCATTTTCTATTTATTTCCCCTGTATTAAGCAAATAGAGCATTAAACCAAATGCCATTAATAGAAAATAAAGCCTAACATATAATTAATATCCAGTTCTGGTAAACTTTTTCAGGTCATGGGTTGCATCTTATATATTATTTTGGTTTCCCCATTGTACTTTGAACATACAATAGATGCACAATGAATGTTTTAAAATTTCAATTGCTCTTATTCCACCAAACACTACTATAACCCTAAAGTTGTTAAAAAGGAGTCATCCTACTCTAACAATTTGATACAACAAGATTAATTGTTAAATACTGAGCTTACTGTTTAAAATAATTTTCTGGTCTCTTGCAATAGTGAGAAAACAAAGGGAAAAGATTGCGGGTCATATCAAACTGCAACTGGGCTGCTCCTCCTTCATTGAAGTGATTAGCAAGAATTATCTGAAACAAAGAACAAATCATTTAACAGTTGCCTTTATTATCACAGCCCAGAAATATAGTCTGTTCTTACTTACTTCTTGGTAGATGTATATATCCAGCTTCTCTACAAGCATTTGCCAGAAAATTTTAAATAAGGAGAAACAAAGCTGCTGCTCCAACTGAAGTAAACGGTCTCGTAATGTAAGCAGTAACGGGCAAGCTGAAGTGGACAGGGACATTACTGCCTGCTCTGACTGAGATGGCAAGGACAACCATCTGGAAAAAACACATTAATTTTTACCGTAAAACTTTCCATCATATTTTTTTTTTAAAAGCATGAAACAAAGTTTATTGACGAAGGACAAGATAGGTTTATAGAGCAAGATACATTCACCACAGAATGGCGAATGGGGCCTCTTGTCATAACAAAAAGGCCATCACTTTTTTATTTCTAAAGTTTTTTTTTTTAATTTTTTAATTTTTTTAAATTTTTTTTTTATTTCTAAAGTTTTAAGAAATCGTTTTAAATTTGGGAAAGTATACTGTCCTGCGGCATTTTGGATAAGAAAAAATGTACGGCCCAACATTAAAACGCACATATACACACACACAAACACCCCCCCCACACACACACATACATACTGTCTTTAATATGGATGATAGGCCAAGCACAATGGCTCACACCTGCAATCCCAGTGCTTTGGGAGGAGGAGGGGGGATTGCTTGAGGCCAGGAGTTCAAGACCAGCCAGGGCAACAGGCTCTACAAAAAATGTTAATAATTAGCTAGCTGGACATGGTGGTGCATGCCTGTAGTCCTAGCTATTTGGAAGCTGAAGCTTCGGCCCAGGAGTTGACAGCTGCAGTGAGCTATGATCATGCCACTGCACTCTGGCCCAGGTGACAGAGCAAGATCCTATCTCTTAAAAAATAAATATTTTCCCTCAAAATCATTTTAATATATGGATTACTGATATAAAACAGTAGAAATTTAAAATGTATCAGCATTTAAGGCATCAGTTAATTTTTTAGTCTACTTTTCAGTAAAAATAACAGGGACTAATAACACTTCCAAAACTGATTTCTGTGTGGCAGGGACTATGCTAGGACAAATAGACATTGCCTAATCTCAAGAAGCTCACGTTCTGATAGAGGTACACAGTGTCCACAGGGAATTATGGTAGTGAAATAAATTGTGCAACATAAGCCCAGGGTACTATAGGAGCACCTCACTTTGTACAATGGGCGACAGGCTAGGCTATTCAACCACAGATCATATACAGCTTTCTATATTTACAAACAGCTGACTACTAAATTATGATCATTTTATTCTGATTAAGAATATCTGAAAAAAAAAAAAAGAATATCCAAAAGGGCCAGCACAGTGGCTCCTGCCTGTAATCCTAGCACTCTGGGAGGGCGAGGTCAGAAGATCACTTAAGCTCAGGAGTTCCAGACCAGCCTGA